ATAAAAAATATAAAAATTGATATTAATTTTAGTATTCATATAAAATAAATAAATTTAATTAAATAATTGATAAATTAAAATTTAATTTTTATTTTTTTAATATAAAATTATAAATATATATTTATCACACTTTTAATATATATTACAAGGATAAGAATTAAAAAAACTCATAAAATATTATAATTAAAATGTATCAATCAATTTTCATATATCTTGAGATTAATTCATTTATAAACTAATAAATTTAACATCAAATTGCAATTAGTATTATATTTTATATCCTTAAACAAATAGGTGTTTATATATTCACGTGGCTTGTTGTGTTTACATTAGTATTGTATAATTGTGAGATTTCAAACCCACCTTCCATGAACCTCCTTAGTAAAATACAAAATCTTTGGGAAAATTCCGTACCCTAGTTTGTTCATCTACTTTTGAATCATTTGCAAGCATAGACGTCAGGAAAATATTACAATCATTTAGGAGAGAAAGAGGAAGACGCAAGAAGACCGCCTGGGTCCTTTTTTCATATGTACTTTTATTTTGACTGGTTAAATTTGTTGTGCACCACATATACATACATGTCCTTTTCATTACAAGAAAGTCCAAATATAATTTTTCTGCATTCATATTGCGCGGAAGCTCTTTATAAGCAGCCTCTCAGGCCCTCAGCTTCTCCAATATTCTTTGCAACGACTAAAAGTATTCGTGAAAAAAGCCAAAAGAAATGGAGAAGAAGCTTTTCACTCAACTCTTCAGCTGCGTCATCTTCTTCTTATTTGTTCTTGTCCTGTTGTCTTCCCCAGCTGCTTCTCAAGAAGTTGGTAAGCACAAGTCCTCACCCTGATCATAAATAAACACAAAGATTTCCCTTCACAATCATCACTCGCTTGTTTGCTAAGAAAAGTTTTTTGTTTTTGTTTTTGTTTTTTTTTTTTTAATGTTTTGTTGGTGCAGATGATGAAAGTGAGTTTGATTATACCAAAAACAGCGAAAAGGGTCCAGATAGATGGGGAGAAATTAAGCCGGAATGGAGTGCATGTGGCAATGGGACAATGCAGTCTCCTATTGATTTGTTGAATGAGAGAGTTGAAGTTGTTTCTCATTTAGGGAGGCTTAAGAGGAGTTACAAACCCTCCAATGCTACCCTCATGAACAGAGGCCATGATATGAAGGTAAACAAGAACAATTTAATTAAACATGAATTCTTAGTTAAATTTCTGGTCTATCATATACCAATTCAACGAAAAGTTTGGTTTAGGTGATAGACTAGATGCATGTTTGGTGCATACCTTAATTAAATAAAAATGAGTAAGAAATCAACAAATTCTTAATTAGTTTACCAAAAGCAATGTTTTCCCACTTTTCTTTTTTGTTAAGAGTTTCTATTTTGTGGGAGCAGTTGAGCTTTGAAGGAGAAGCAGGAAGTATTGAGATTAATGGAACTGAATATGAACTCAAACAGCTCCACTGGCACTCGCCTTCTGAGCATACCATTAGTGGCGTAAGGTGATTCTTAATCTCCTGTACTTTGTCATAAATTAATCAAAACAACATGAATAAGGGGAAAAAAAAAAACTAATGGGAAAATTTTTGCCTTTTTGGGTACTTTGAAATTCAACTACAGGTTTGATTTGGAGCTGCACATGGTTCATCAAAGCCAGGATGGCAAGATTGCTGTTGTTGGGATCATGTACAAGATTGGAAGGCCAGATTCTTTCTTGCTATCGGTACTAAACTACTGATAGAATCTTACGATGCTTGAAATTTTTTCATCATCTTCTACTCCTAGCTGATTTTCCTTACCTTTGCTTTGTTGGTTTTCAGTTGAGAGATCATTTAGAAAATATTACTGATACCACTAGTGGAGAAAGTGTTGTGGGAGTGATTGATCCAAGGGCCATAAAGATTGGCAGCAGGAAGTATTACAGATACCTTGGATCTCTTACAACTCCTCCTTGTACTGAAAATGTTGTGTGGACCATTGTTAGAAAGGTCAGGACTGTGACAAGGGAGCAAGTTAAGCTACTACGTGTTGCAGTTCATGATGTGAGTTTCTGCTTCCACACTCATATTTTTCCCATGGAAATTCTGGAGCAGAAAACTGATCATATTTATCCTTCCGTTTGATTTTAATTGTACTTATGCAGAGGCTTATTGATGTTTGCAGGATTCAAATTCTAATGCAAGACCACTACAACCAATAAATTGGCGAACGGTGCAACTCTATAGACCAAATGAAAAGGAAGAGAACTAGAACCTATGAGCTTTTGCAGCTTCGGATTTCATATATAATTCCCTTCTTGTGGCATCTTTGAGAGAGTGTTCGTACTTTATTCTTGCATTGATTCTTCGACGATATATTCAAGCCATTGTTTGTTATTTTGATATATTAATTGATCTAGTTTTTCTTCAATAAAGGAACAAATTCATACTTTATCAGCATTATCTTCAATCATCTTCTCTTCATGAAATTGTGAATAACTCTATTTCCACGGAGAAACTGGTAAGGTACGGAACATGGTTGTTTAGAAATTGCCATCAACCATCAAATAAAATAAGAAAAATTCTTCACCTAACCAACCCCACTAATGAAGATAAAAACAATCCTTATTCATGTAAAATAAAGAAGGTTCTGGTCCAACTTGGTTTCCAAAATACAAATATATATTTTTTAATCTAAAAAACAAGAAGAAGCCAAATGCAATGGATGGATCACCTCAAATGACACATTCTGTCAAGAATGCAAATGGAATCCAATGACTCAATTATAGTTCTTCATAGAAAGGGCAGAAAGATGCTGGACAGCAACATAATCTAAATGCTTTTGATAATATGCTTTTATTTCACCAATTTACAACTTCCAATGGTAAAAAGAAGGATAAAATTACAGTCTTATGCTGAAGAAATAAGAACATAGTGGATTTCAGTCAGGAAGTTATCCTAAACAGACAGAACAACAGCAAGAATTGGAGCACCGGGGTGCTATGATACAATTTTTAGGGGATAGCAGAGATTTCTAATGCTTCATTATGTTACAACCAGATCATTCTTCCAAGAACTTTCAGGATATCATCTGTGGATGGCCTATGTAGAGGGTCATCCTCTACACAAGCCCTGGCTAACACTGCCAAACATAGCGCTTCAGCTAGAGAATAGTCTTCTAGAGATGGATCCATGAAGATCCTCAGTTGCTCAAAACAACCACCTTCACTAGCTCCACCTCCCAAAAATCCTATTGAATCTCTGAACTGTCTTCCATCCATGTCCTTCCTTCCTGAGATGAGCTCGATCAAAACA